CAATTATTATAATAGAATTTATAGATATCATACAACTTTTTTGATAATGCATTAATCAAGAGTCCAATACAATATTATATAGATTTTTAGAAATTAATACATACACAACCAATATATCTATCTTTTTTTTTTCTTAATTTTTAGTATTAACAAAAAGGTCAACTAAAAATTTAATTCTCAAATGTTTGGTAAATAATATTTTTATCTTTGTAAACAATAAATATGTTATTATAAAATTTAAATTAAAATGATAATTAATAATTTACAAAAATATATAATCTTAAAATATATCAAATCTATGTCATGAAGGCTTATGCTGACGGACATTTACCATTGGCCAATCCGCCTATAAAAATCTATGTCATCAGATTTTGAGACATAGGCCAAATCATTGACGTAGTGAAGAATGAAAATGAGCAATATGTGCCATGATTATATAATGTTTTACTATATTTCTTTGGCTTTCTTAATATATTATCTTTATTGAATATACTATTATCAACTTGATGAAATTGTTAGACATTTGTAGTTTTTCATGTTATTAATTTTATATTTAATTTTACAATTTTTAAATTCTATTTCTATTTGGGAGTTCCAAGCTATTTCCTTTATTTGCACAATTGCCTACTCAAGTCAACAAAGGAATTTGTTTTAAATATATAGGTACTAATTGCTTTCCTTATAATTTCTTTTATGCTTTCTATATGCAACCAAATGCAAAAGCTTTTCTAGAACCTAGTTTAATCAATGAGATTGGTAATAGTTACCTTATTTATTTGATAAATTATTTTATGGGTTGTAATTTTAAATAGGGTCGTACATATCTCTCCTCTCTCTCAAAATTCTGATTGTAATCCCCTATTCTTTTCATGTATCCCCCTTGATCTAGCATCATGGTTTTGTTTTTTGGATGTAATGTATCCCAAGGAGTTAATGGACATGGAACTTGTAAACCCTATGGATGCAAGAAGGTATAAATGTTTTAAACGACATTAATTAGTGGGTTTAATAAGATAAATTCCACTCCATCGTATGAACATATTGTTACTACTCTGCTTTATGAAAAGGATAGTATATTTACAATGGATGTCAATGCAATTCTTCTTTCAAATGAGATGGGAAAAAGGGTTGTTGTTAGGCAAGAAATAAGGTTTCTAAAAATCATAATGATTCAAGGTATTCATTTAAATCTAAGAAAGATATTGAATGAAATTATTATCATAAATTGGGGAGTATTTAAGAAAAATTGTTATAAGTTCAAAGAAAAGCAAGAGAAAAAAATACCTCCAACAGAACAAACATGGTGGAGAACCATTTAGGTAGTGATGACAATTTGTTACCTTTTCTAGTAGCTAACGATTCTTATTTTAAAGACAAGTGGGTTCTTGATTCTACTTGTTCTTATCATGTATATCCCAATAGATATTAGTTTTTCACTTATATCTCATTTAATGGTGGAAATTTCTTGATGGGGAATGATTTTCCATACAAGATTTTTCGGATAGGAATAATTAAAATCATGATGCGTGATAATATTGTAATAGCATTGATAAATGTTACACATACCCCTAATTTAAAGAAAATTTTGATTTCTTTGAATACTTTAGACTCCACAGGATGTAGATCTATTGCACAAGGTAAAGTTATGAAGGTTTACAAAGGTGTTGTGAGCTCTAAGAAGCTCATGGCCTGTTTAAAGAAGAGACACCACCCATTTTTTAGAGGAAATGGGCCTTTAATTTTAATTGAGAAAATTGATTTGCCTTTAAAATAGTGATTCCATTTTCCATGAGAAAGACATTTAACTGAGAAATTTTGTATTTCAAAGGATTGGAAAAGGGAATGTGTTAAACACTCGTGTCTCAAATTAAAGTTGCTATAGCAGATTAATACATGAGTTCTTTAAGCTTAATTTGCAACGAAAGACCAAAATAGCAATTGCTAAAATTCTTGAAATCTAGTGAAAAATGTTTATAAGTTCTCTTGAAAATGATTTGAGGCGATGTTATCGAGTCTTACATACTAATTTCCCTAAGATCACATTTTTACCTCTTTGTTTCATAAAAAGTTAGAAATGTAAGTTTTCCATAATTTCAGAGTTTCAAGCAAATCTAGAACTGAAATAAAAAAATAGGAATATGAACTTTGAGTCAAATAATAGAGTGAGAGGCTTACCTCTCCTGTGTAACCTTGATAAAGGTTTCTTCCAACAATTGAAATAAGATGAGATGATTGAGCGAACTATTGAACTTGGGAATGCTTTTGGTTACAAATCTCCCATTTGAAAAACAGTGGATAAATTTGAGGTTAAAGGTTCAAATGCTTGGGGACTTTTAGCTAATAAGGTCTTTATAGAGGCTAGGAGTGCTTCTAGGTCTCTCTCCTTATCTCTTGTTTTTTTGTTCGAATTGGATCTCTATTTATAAAGAAAACAAGGAAAATATGTTTATGTTTTGCCTAATAAAAAAGCCTAGGTTTCAAAGAAGTGATTGATTGTTATCATAAAAAAAGGTTAAAGATTTTCAAGGAAATGGTTTACAATCAAGCTTTCCTTCTTAGTACAATGATTCTCACTACAATAAAATGACTTCTAGCGGCCGGTAGTCGTCAAACTGCCGCTAAACTTTTACCGGCAATCGACAAACTGCCGCTAAAACTATTGTCGCTAAAAGTTCTAGCGGCAGTTTTGGCGACTACCGGTAAAGTGAAAAAAATTGCCGCTACAAATTGATGCATTAGTGGCAGTTTTTTACTGCTGCTAAAGGTGATTTTGCATGTGACAGTTTAAAGGGGGTACCCCAACTGCCGCTAAAGGCTTTTATATATATACAAGTTATTTAAATATATATATATATATATATTTAAATAACTTGTAATTTGATTGTAATTTATTGCAAATTTCAATTATTAAACAAACATGCAATTTGATTCATCCATTCATCCAAATTAAAATTAAAATTAAATACAAAACATATTATTTTCCATTGATTTCTCCAAAATGGTTCACAACAATTCCATACACAAGTAAAAATGAAACACAAGATTTTTTTCTAGTAGCACAATTACTGGATCTCATAAATGATAATTGTTCTTCTCAAGGGAACATGGTTACTTCTTTTATAATCTCAAATTTCTTGCAAGGGTCTCTGCAAATTGGGCTACCTCCCAAACACTTCTCTGCAAGGGTCTCAAATTTCCTTTAGAAGGGATAGAGTCTCATCATTGTGAGAGTAACTTTGAGTCACATGCCACTATATTCACCCTACCAACATTCTCCTAGCATTCCTCATTCTTGAAAATTGCATCCTGTAGGACGAAGGTCCACATGTTGTCACAGAACCTGTAGGTGTGTAGATGTTCCTATTGTGCATACACACATGAAAAGAAAATGTGAACAGGCAGTTCAGTTTACAATGTGAACCACCCAGCTGACAAGCAAAGAAGATAATTCCTTTGTTTTTCTTTTTTCTTTTTGGAAAGAATTAAGAAATAAACATTAACTATTGAAAGAAAATGTGAACATGCCCTTCTCATTTTAAGTAGAGCCATCCCCAAATTTGTGAATGGCTTCTTTTAAATCTTCCCAATATTTGTACCTTTGCATGTAATTTTGTTAATCATTGAGAAAAGGGAAGGAATAAGGAATAAAAAGAAAACCATGAAAGTTTTTTTTTCCCTTACCACTCTTGTTTCTTTCTTCTGTTAGCAATGTGACTATAAGAACTAACAAAGGAAATTTTCTTTAGTCAAAGGATTTCAGTTTTTGCAGGTAAGTTCATATTTTCTAATAATTTAATGGAAGTAGTTATTGTAAATTATCAAGTAGAATTTTTTAGCTACTTTTTTTTCAACAGGTTGAAAGGAATCATTTCAAATTATCCATAGGGTTTTGATGCATATGTTCTTTATATAACATATTCTCTAGTCAAATCCTGTTTCAAAATCTTAAAGGACTACATTTGCTTTTCATTAACATCTCTTCAGTGAATTGGTATTACATCATGAGTTTTTATTTTCAAGCATTAAGAACATTTGGAGAGAAATGATTGCAGCTAAGTTTTCCAAATTTCCAGAAAAGAAAATAAGTAGTATAGAGTTATGGTCTGGACAATTAATAATCACCTGTCCAATTAATACAAAATCCAATTATAATTGGTGCAGATTTCAATTTCTCTGTTTTGGGATCTCCCGCTGGGTGACTTGACCATGTTTTGATTGGTTGATTCAGTGGGATTTGTGATGTAAAATTTAGATTGTATAGAGCAAGTTCCCCCTCCCCTTGTACAGCTACCATTACTGGATTTAGGTCAATATTCAAATCCAAATAGACCTTGGGAACTATGAACTATTCACACCACTGGGTTAAAGTAACTACTGAACTATATCAGATAAGATGGTGATTTAGGGGTACTCTACTTTTGATGAATGGGATTGTTCATCATTAGTTGAAAAATACTCTTTAAAAAAGGCAAGTTCATTGTTGTTAATATATCCCCTATGCTGAGGCACACTCAAGTGCTTAAACTCAAAATTTATAGACACCCAAAAAACCAACTTACTAACTGCATACTGCACTAATTCATCTCAACTTTTCATTTTGTTACATAAAAATTCTATTGTTTCTTTCAGACCAAATTGACAATAGAACAACTACAGGAATTGACACGGCACAACATGAATAGGTAAAGAAATACAAATATACAATTAGTGAAGAAAAATTACCTGGGAAAGAACCCATCCTGTATTATACAGCTTGTGTGAAAGAAACTTTCACACAAGGGATATATTAACATGTTTATTTCAGCTACAAATAAACATAGGGGATATATTTCCCCTATGGGAATGACATAGGAGATATATTTCACATAGGGGATAAACAACTAAAGCTTGTTTATTTCAGCAGCTGAAATAAACAAGTTTCATATAAATCATACAATTCGTGGATGCCTTAGGTACATTTCCAACAGCTGGCTTATTAACAAGCTTTAGTTGTAAATCATTCACACCCATAATCTCTTTATTCGAGAAACATACATTCCCAACAGCTGCATGGAAGAGAATATTAACATAATATTTGAAGATCATTAAAATAAATAATTATCAAACCATTTATCTTCTTTGAAAATTGTTCAAATATTGTATATTAAGAAGATAAACACAAAGAAAATTGTTCAAATATGGCACAAGCACAAACAATAGCTTATTCTTATTTTTTTTGCATCTTACACAAAAGACCAAAACCAAATCATTCTGGGAGTGCACACTCAGTATTTCTGGATTACCTTAATGTGTTGAATTTCTTTCACAGGCCTGTCTGCAAAATATGCATATAATGCTCTTAGTTCTACCTATAAAGATACAAAATAGCATCTTATATGGAAGCTCTTTTGAAGCTTCAAAAATCCGAAAGAAGATAGACTTCAGTATATATAAATGTATAACCTGATGAGAGATCAACACAACAGGTGCACATTGGCATTCAAGCTCAACAGTTACAAGTTCTAACCTACATTAATATTGTAAAAGGAATTATAATGCATGCTAATTAAAATACATAAATGAAAGCCAACAACCATGATTGCTTCAAATCATGTATGCCTTTACTCAATATTAAAATGTTAAACTTTTTGACTTGATCCTAGCTAGGGCTTTTGGAGATATACAATCAATACAAAGAAACTCCAACCAGAACATACCTATCTAAACTCACAGGGGTAGAACAAAGAACTCACGGACATGGACATTGGAGAAAGCACCCATAACAAGGACAAGTAGAAGGAATCAGCCCGGACAATACTTTGTAAAGACAAAATAGGAAAAATGAGCAAGCAATTAGATCAGATCTAACCTAAACTCCCTTCTCTTGAGACCGAGAATAGAAAATATTTACTGTCATTTGTCTACCTCAATTTACACTGAACGTTAAACTGGGTGAGTTGATAACCAATCAAACCTATTGAGGGACACCAAGAGGAGATATTGTTCCATAGGTCATTGATTAGGTGAAATATATGTAAGGGTCTTCTCTTATCATCATACCAGGAGAAAAGAAGAAACTCTCCAAGATTCCAATTTCTGCTAAAAAATAGAAGAAAAGGAATGTTTCTATCAATTAAAAACAATAATTTGTAGCCAAACTGCAGAAGAGATTTTTAAAACTGAAAACCAAATTAAAGCTTATAAGCTTATCAGATTCAGGCCCTGTTTGATGATTAAGTACTTGTTAGAAGTACTTATTTTAACAACCCTTTAGGCTGTTTGATAACCCACTTTTTCAAATCACTTATTATGTTTTTAAGTACTTATTGGGGTGGGGATGTTTGGTAAGCTACTTTTCCCACAAGTGCTTATATTGACACAAATGACAATTTTAGCCCTTACTTCACTCACACACACACACACATAGATATATATATGTTATACATTTTAATTTAGAGTCCACGTGGACCCCACATGGACCCCACTTCATGGTCAGCACTATTTCTACCGTCAATGGCCCAGTATCAAGCTCAGTACGCCGGCCGTTGATGTCGTTGGTACATCGGTTGCCGACCGATAAACTAGCTGCCGACGTCGCTGGTACACTAGCTGCCGGCTGTTGACTGGTACACCGACCACCAACATCGTTGGTACACTGGCTGCCGGCCAATACACCAGCCGCCGACTGGTACACTGGCCACCGATGTCATGTTGGTGGAGACATAGAGACAAGGAGAGAGAGGGAGAAAAATAAGAGAATGAGAATGGCGGTATTTTAGGTATTACAAGAAAATATTAGGGACTGGTTCGTCCCATTTTTTGGAGAAGTAATTCTTTAAAAAGTACTGAAAAAAAAACCAACTTCAAATCACTTTTTTAAATAAGTACTTCTTTAAAAATAAGTACTTATTACCCTCTTTTTTACCAAACACCCATAAGTACTTAAAAACCACTTAATGTGTGGTCCCATGTCTTAAAAGAAGTACTTGTTAAAAGAAGTACTTCTTTTAAGTGTTCTCAAACAGGGCCTCAAAATATATCGATTTCAAACGTAATTTAGGTCGTAGATGGCTGAGTGGAGATGTGTATTATAGATGAGCGATTAATCTTTTAAGCACTATAAGTCAAAAGATAGAGAATTGACTAAATGAATTAATGCTCAAAAGGATATTGAGAAGCCAAAGGATAAATAAATAGGGACGTACATGAAGTTGAATCTCCTCAGTGAAGCAAGTACTAAACAAGTGGAGAATTGAAGCATCAAGCGTTTTAGAAGTGGTGGTGGCATGAATGTGCACATTGATCGATAGGAAAGCTCATTTACGACGCACTCCATGCCGAGAGAGAGAGAGAGAGAGAGAGGGGGGAGGGTGGGAATACGAAAAGCTAGGAAAAGAGACAAGCGGAAGGGTGGGAAAAACCGAAAAAGCTGTATTTGTTGGGGTCTAAGTGGTAGTCAGTCTGATCTTTAGCGATGGTTTTAGATGACTACCACTAAAGACTTAGAATTTCTAGTGACACCCACCAATGTGCCAGCTAAAAAACTGTCGCTAATACCCATTTCTCCTATAGTGTCTCTTCGATTTGGGATTGATTTTTATGGGTTTTGGACATCTAATGAGAGTTTGGGGCATGCCTATCATTGTAGTATGGGGACCACCAGTTGTATAAAATACAATTTTGATTTACTAATAAATGTTATTTTGTCTTTTCTTATCTTTAAGTGGGGGTATCTTTGGGTTTTTGTTTTTTATGCCTATTAGGCTTAATTTTATTGGTCTAGATGTTTGAATAGTTTAAGTATGGGGCTAACATCAGTCATCACCCTTTTGAGGTCTCAAGTTGGGATAGATGAAGCGGCAATTTAATTTAATGTATCAAAGTAGAATTTTTTTATTTAATAGTCAAATGGGTGAATTAGGTTTGAAATTTAACATACAAGGGATTTTGGGGTCTCTAAACATAATGGTGAGGTCTAATTGCTTAAATAACCTTTGATCAATGTAACTTGAAATGGAATCTCTACTAAATGATGGGTCAAACGAAGGAATTTTGAAATGATATTTGGTGAGTAAGTGTGAACATCCAAATTGAAATTGGGGTTCACTTCATGGCTGAAATGGTATGGAGCCGCCACCCATCTATAATAGAAACATGGGAGTAATGGGCCTTCCATGTTCAATGAACAAGACATGGCTCATACATACCCAAGATAAGGTTATAATTTTTAGGGGAGAGAGGGAAGGTGTTAAGCACCCCTCTCCCATACTTAACATGTAGTAACATTTCCCTAATTTAGTATAGAAAGAATAAGAACTAAAGGAAACAAAACCTACTAGATTTCTAGCAACCTTACCCATCAAAGAGGATAGTCATGGTGGCTTGTTTCCTAAGTGATTCAACCCTCTCATTCTCTTTTTGGGTGAGGGAAACCCTTAAAGGAGCAAAGGATTAGACAACTATATGCATCCACCTTCTTTATCCAAGATTCCCCTCATTCCTACTAGGCTAATGAGAGAAATCAAAACACAAGGGAATCAATCCCCTATGAACCACGTCATTTAGGGTTCACTAAACACAATCTACATTTAGGATTTAAAACAAAAAAAACAAGGAGATAAAAATATCCAACAAACAAGATAGAAAACTAGCTTGAATTAAAGTTCAACATAAGCTAAAACTCCATTACACATGTATTCTAACATTCAAAATTTTATGTTTTCTATATGCAACCAAATGCAAAAGCTTTTCTAGAACCTAGTTTAATCAATGAGATTGGTTATAGTTACCTTATTTATTTGATAAATTATTTTATGGGTTGTAATTTTAAATAGGGTCATACATATCTCTCCTCTCTCTCAAAATTCTGGTTGTAATCCCCTATTCTTTTTATGTATCCCCCTTGAACTAGCATCATGGTTTTGTTTTTTCGATGTAATGTATCCCAAGGAGTTAATGGACATGGAACTTGTAAACCCTATGGATGCAAGAAGGTATAAATGTTTTAAACGACATTAATTAGTGGGTTTAATAAGATAAATTCCACTCCATCGTATGAACATCTTGTTACTACTCTGCTTTATGAAAAGGATAGTATATTTACAATGGATGTCAATGCAATTCTATGGGAAAAAGGGTTGTTGTTAGGCAAGAAATAAGGTTTCTAAAAATCATAATGATTCAAGGTATTCATTTAAATCTAAGAAAGATATTGAATGAAATTATTATCATAAGTTGGGGAGTATTTAAGAAAAATTGTTATAAGTTCAAAGAAAAGCAAGAGAAAAAAAACCTCCAACAGAACAAACATGGTGGAGAACCATTTAGGTAGTGATGACGATTTGTTACCTTTTCTAGTAGCTAACGATTCTTATTTTAAAGACAAGTGGATTCTTGATTCTACTTGTTCTTATCATATATATCCCAATAGATATTAGTTTTTCACTTATATCTCATTTAATGGTGGAAATTTCTTGATTCTACTTGTAAATCAGTTTTTGAGTAGACTAAGTTTTCAATTTTGAAACTATTTGATAAAATCAGTTTTATGAATTCATAGTCTTCATTAGAAAATTAATAATAATTTCATTTATAATCAATTTAGCTTAGTAATATTGAATAAATATTGGATAATAATAATATTATTAATTATAATTGTAAGTTTCAAGACTTGGGTACTTATAATTGCAAGTTTCTTATTAAAAAACCATTGTCTTTTTTAATATAGCAAATAGCAATGTTGTAATTCCAGCCCCTGCGAAACAGGGACCCTCCGCTAGTATAAGTTTAAAATAGAAAACCTGGAACATCAATCCACCCATATGGATGGAGAAGAATATCTTGGCCTTTTCCTCCAACCTAAAAACACATATAGCATGCCTATAGGTATTTGGATTGAGGGGCGGAAGTGCAAAATCAATGGATTTTGTAAAGACTAGCTCTTTAAACGGTGCAAAATTTACTTCTGGTTCTCCCCAGTCAAAATAGACAAAAAAAAAAAAAAAGAAAAATCCTCTTATGGACTCTTCTGCGTCCATATTAACCATTTCCATTGAGAAAACCATTTTCATGGGGGCATAAAGGTCCATAATTCATTTCTAGATCTCATTCTACATATTTGGCTTCTATCTAGATGAATTTACGTTGACTGAAACATTTCAAGTAGACATGTAGATTTATGTTTGAATTGCCCAAACTTGGCCTTACTGAATTGTAATAATCTAATAACCTATATGACAACACCCAAGTTGAGGAATGGACTTGGGGCACTTCTTCCACGTCCCATGGTCCGACCGTTTGGGTTAACGATGGTTTAAAAACCATGTTTAGAGGTATTAATGGATCAAACAAGGATTTACCATGCTTGTTGACGTCAATCCATTCTAAACCACTGATGAATTTACAATGTAATCAAAAAGCTTTCTTACGCCAATTTGAAACAAATGGTTCACTCCGAAAAGAAGGAAAATTAAAAGACTTTTAAATAGCCCAATATCACACTTTTGTACATGTTTTTGGATTTGTATTTATTCATACTACAATTTTTCTTTTGTTTCCAACTCTGAAGAAACAAAAATCATATATGAAGATGCTACTAATATACGTCCACTATAACCTTCTGGTGCATTCTAGCACTAGTTCTCATGGCCATACTCCTGCAGAGTGCAGAAATTAAAGAAAGTTTTAATTCTTCTTAGATGGGAAAAGATGCTCTGTTTATGATGAAGTTCCTGTGCATTTTAGTATCTCCAAAGATAAAAATGTGCCTACATCCTGTTGTCTATTGCATCAATTGCAGAAAGATTGCAGACCTCCAATCATCCTGGTTTATGCATCATTCCACATTGAGCTGAGGGACATTGCTCTCATAGGTTGCACCTTCACTATTTGACGGCGGTGGTGGCTGCACGTGTGAGCAGCTTGGTGGGGTCTCTGCATGCTCATGTGGCATCATAGGTGGCATTTCCGGGCCCGGAATTCCATGCTGGCATGATGATTATGATCTAGAATTAAACCTCTGAGCTCTGAAGAGTGTAAGACTGAAGCTAAAAACTTGTTTCAACTCAAAAGTATATTAGTTCATTTGAAAAGCCCATTGGGATGGTGCAATATAATTGGGTTGTACATGGGCCCATATTTGGATCATGGGCTTTCAATATGGACCTCATAGGTCTAGGCTTGTACCTGGCCCAGTGGTTCGGATCTGCCTGGTCCATTTGGAAGAAAATGTACCTGCATGAGAGGGAATGATGAAGGTGGCATGATGGCAGAGAGGAGATCCGTTGGCGTGTACGCCTGGTGCCACGATGGAAGGTTTGCATCGCTCGGGTTGCTGACATGGCATTCTCCCATACTGCGTGGGTCCACGTTTAAACTTGTCCCATGTGATATAGTATCATACATGGTTGATGGATGATCCCTAGAACAGTAACATACAAAACTAATAACCAAATTCCACGCTCCTTGCCACCATCTAACATCTAAAATGGAAGCAGAAAAAAATGCAGATACGGACCTTAGTGGGATCAAAGAAGGGTCCGATCCAACGAAAATCTGGGTCGGGTGGTGCTGGTTCTCGGGTAACCAATTTACAACTTCGTTCTCAAAGGAGGGTGGAAGCCCCTCTTGTGCATCCAAGTATACCTGCATTCATTTGTCCTAATAAATTCTCTTATACCGACAGAAAAATAAATAAATAATTTTCAAACTTTGGGTTTCTGTTTTTCTTCTGCTTTTTTTTTTCAACTACCTGCAAACCCGTTTGATCATACGAAGATAGATGGTTGCTTAACAAATGTTTCTGCAACCAAAAATTGGAAAAGGAAAACGTCAAAACATCATTAACAGCTGGACTGAAGCAAATGAGAGAAAGAGAGAGAGAGAGATTATACCTTTCTCTGGGTGACACGTGCCAAAGTTTCCATGAGGTGTTTCTCGCAGGATTCAAGCTCCGCCATTGATGTAAACTTCATTAGGTCTGGCTCAAAGATCCTTAATTGTTCATCGGCTATCTGAAGTTGTTGTTGAAACCTAGTGATTTCTTGTTGCAGTTCCTATATATAAATTATTACAGTTATTATTTAATTGAACTTAGAGAAATGAAGAAATTGTAGAAATATTTCCTTGAATTTAATGGCGAAATCTTAAAACTTTGTGTTCCATACCTCTACGTTAGAGTTAACAGCCCCAGGACTGGTTCAAAGCATAATTAGCGGATCACAAAAGAAAATTTGTTCTTGTTAGAATCAATTAAAATGGGAGAATTCAGAATTTTTTCTAAAAAAAAGAAGAAAAACTATTAATAACACAATTTCAGAGAGAGAGAGAGAGAGACTTGGCTAACTGAAGAGCTATGTCGTTTTCAGTCTTGAGCTTCTTTAATGTCCTGATCAAATACTGCATGCATGAACAACAAAGTTGTGTCAAAACATTTTACTTAGTTTTCTTCATAGAACAATGAATTAATTGAAGAGATAAAACAAAAATAATCAAGTTGATTCTTAATTGAACCTCTCGGTTTTGAACAACCCTGCAAGCCAAAACAATGATAGGAAAAGAAATAAAATAAGAATCAATTAGTGTTGCAATACTAATAGAAGTAATCAAACTCAAATAAACGATGAAAGGAATGAACAAGATCATCATACCCTCCTCTATCATGGTCAGGGAGATTGATGTAACGAGTAAGCACGTCCTCAATCCTATTGTTAAAAAGAAAACAAAAGACAAAAAATAATTGAATGAAGAATTAGATTATAAAAGTACAGAAGAATTGTAAATTGGAATGACCCATTGAAGAATGCAAATGGAATAGTATAATTAACTAACTAATGGGTTGATTTCAGATCTCAAGAATAACAAAAAACTGAATCTCTTATTGCACCTTCTATACAAAAGAAATGCAAATTGGAAAGACCAATTGAAGAATGCAAATGGTAGGATATAATTAACTAATTGATGGGTTAATTTCAGATTTCAATAATAACAAAAAATTAAAGCTTTTATTGACCTTCTATGCAAAAGAATTGTAAATTGAAAAGGCCCATTGAAGAATGCAAATGGAAGAATATAATTAATTGATTGATAGGTTGATCATAGATTTCAGGAATAACAAAAAATTGAAGCTCTTATTCCACCTTCTTTTGCCGGAGAAGTGACTAAGCCGGCCGGAGGGAGAGAACATAATGAGGGCAATATCAATGTCGCAAAGAATGGAAAGTTCATAAGCTTTCTTGATGAGTCCATTCCTACGCTTTGAGAAGGTAACCTGTCGATTTGTGTTGTTTTCTATTCTCTTAATCTGGAGTTTAACACGACCCATGATCTAAGAAATAGGTTCTTGTGTTGGATTAACAAGTGATAGAAACTACAACATTAGGAAATGTAAATGGAAAGAAGCCAGGATGGGCAACAAGGAACCAAAAAAAGGAGATGTGTGGCCGAGAGGGAGGGAGGGAGGGGGAGGTTCGGAGGGGACATATATAGACGCGAGGAATTTGGAGAAATTCCAGGATGCAAATGAAAATAAAGAAAGGGTCAAAGTTGAGATGGTTTAATGGTAATAAATCCTTGTTTTTCCTTGATAAGTGGAGTAGTTCAGTTTGAAAATGAGTGTCGGGCTTCATGAAAAAAGAATTATGCAAAACCTATGGTGCACGGTGCAGTAAAAGATACAGTCCATTGATATCTTTAGTTCATATCACATATTGTTAAATGTCAAATTAGCTAGAGAACACCTTGTTAAAAGTCAAGGTACACTTTATGAACCTATCAAAAGCAAAATATTCTTAATGTGATTGGTTGATCTAGATTTAAGGTGCAGAAAATCAGCGAATGCATCATGATTGAACTCAAAAATTTAATTTCACGAGTTCCATAATTCCAACAAACAACACTGGGATCATGTAAATTTGTGCACTCAGAGTGAAAAACCTATGTGCATAAGTAGATGTTTCTAGAGTGTAACACAAAGGTGGCATAAACATATAATGTGCCTAGTTTTATTTGTTTCTAGGGGGACTTGTGCGATGCACAAATATTGTTAAGCGAAAGTTAAATAATAGAAACAAATAAGAGTATAATTGTTTTATATTTTAACTTTTTTAATAATTAATTACTATTTATATTTGGATAAATTACAGATAGGTACCCTGTCCTTTGGGGGTAGTGACAGATAGGTACCCTGAACTTTTAGTTGCAACACTTGAGTATCCTGAACTTTCAAAAATAGACAAATAGGTCCATCCATTAGTATTCTGTCAGTTAAACATTACATAATGCCAAAAATACCCTTATCGTGTATTTCTGAGTTCATTCTCAGGTAACCAAATGTCTCCCCATGATGGCATTCTCACATGGACAACAAATAACATATTCAAAATTTTCACTGATGACATTCTCTAGTGATGATTTTACTCCATAGAATGATCTACAAAATACATGAGAAGGGTATTCTTGAAATTATATAATGTTTAACTGACACAATTGAAAGTTCAGGGTAACTATCTGTCACTACCCCCAAAGTATAGAGTACCTATCTGTAATTTACACTTTATATTTTATATATTACTTTTAATATTTTTTTAGAATACAAAATTAACTATAATTAATTTCATCTAGGGTTGTTCATCAAACTGATGAAACCAACCAGCCCAACCCAACTCAACTTGAGTTGGTCAATTTTTTAGTATTCTCAATCGACTTTGGTTCCACAATTTCCCAACCTGACCAAGTTGGATCAGTTTCGGTTTGGCCATTTGTAAATTGACTAAATTTGAACTTACCTAACAATAAATATATGTTAATATATTATATTTTAAATATATTTTTTTTAAAACAAGAAATTAGAAATTTTCCCATATTTCTTAGTCTAAAATATTTTATATCATAAATTTAATTTTTTGATTTATTTTTTAATAATACCATTATAATTTTTAAATTTCAATTTAATTTTTTATGTTATATCTTTTGAACCAACTAACCAAAGCGAAAGTCGATCCAAACCGACACAACCTAAGTTGGTCGGCTTTCACTAACGGTTAGTTGGTTTTGGGTGATCAACTCCCCAACCTGACTAGGTGGATTTGGTTGGCTAAACAGCTTGTAACCGAACCGAACCAACCTGTGAGCACTCCTAATATTAACTTAATGAATAGTCTAATATCTAATAATATTGAAAATTTATAGAGAAAATAAAATTATTGAAAATAAATTTATAATGAAAATACAATAATTACAAAATTACAATAAATATTAAAAATATATTAAATGAGTCAATAAATAGTGTAATCTCTTATAAATATTAATCAATAAATTATAACAAAAATACATAATTACTAAAAATAAATTAATTACAAAAATACAATAAGTACAATAAATTAAATTTAAAAAGTTAAATAATAGTAGTTTAATCCCCAATAATTATTGAAAATTTTCTGTTAAATAATAAAAAATAGATTTATACATAATTATTGAAAATATATTTATCACAAAAGACAATAAATAATTACTGAAAATACAACAGATATTAATTTTAGTATATATAAATATATAACAAATATAGATTAATAAGTATAAATTAATAAATATATTAATTTTATTACTAAATATTAATTTTGTTGAAATTTATTTTCGAGAATATTAATTGATATAAGTGAAATTAGTTATCTATAATATTATGTAGTTATTGAAATAAGCTCATTAAATTTTTAAAATATGAATTATTTATTGAATTATAATTAATTTGAATATTACGGAATCTATAATAATTATTTTTATAATTTTAAGATTTTTTTAAATTTATTACATAATTTTGTTACTTTAACTATTTAAAATTTATTTATGTTAAATATTTCATTATTTAGTTATTTAAATATTTAAGTAATATTTTATTTTTTAATGTTAAATTTTTATTATTTGAATAACATTTAAATTGAATAAGCCGTAAAATTAAAATATATATTGTTAGTTAGTATATAATTGCGTGATGAATTTTGTAAGAATATACAATTATTAATAATATGATTATTATTATTATTGTATTTTTAATGAATATTTTAATGTAATTATATAATTTTGTTAGAATGTTTAAATAATTCTTAGATTTTTTAATTGAAACTTTCTTTAGATAGATATAGATAAAATGTGAGGGAGAGGATAGATGGGAATTAGAGATAAAGTCTCTACTAAGAGATAATTTAAGAGATAAATTGAAATTAGAGATAATTTAGGAGAAAATGGGGGATAGTAGTACCACTTGGCTAGACATTAGAAAAGAAAATCCCTCTTTCTTTATATATTGATTGTTAGAGATAAGAATCTCTATGTTGTTTCCTTATTCGTTTAATGGGCACTTATGCCGAATTAAAAAAATTAAAAATTAAAAAAAGTAAGTTAGAAAGGGGGTTCTGAAGTAAGGAGAGACATGGTGACATGGGCAACCTTGTTTTATATATATAGAATAGATCAGTAGATTTGTTCCCTAATTAAAAAGGAGGAATGGTCCTTCTAAAGCCATGTCATCCCATGCCATAAAAGTCCCAACGTTTTGTAGAACAAAATGAACTAAGAATCCATTTGGTTGACAGTAATCAAAATTGGAAACAAAATTCATTGAAATCAGTACTAGAATGGTACTCTATTCCCCCACCTGTTTGGTTCAGATGGGAATTGAAATCGGAATAGGAATCAGATGGAATGGACAAGATTTTTACAAGCTTATTTTAGCAGGACTTGTCCAAGTTGCTAGGCACAGGCCTCCACTACAATACTACTTACCACCCACAAATGGACGGACAGTCTGAGAGGTTCAATCAATGCCTGGAAATCTAATGATATTTCATAGGCCTGGGAAGAACAAATGGTTAGCCTTTGACTGATTGGTGCTATAACTCCCATTTCCATACTACCATCAATATGACTCCTTTTGAGGCATTGTATGGCTACCCAACTTCACAAATTTCAGAAGGTTATCTCAGTCATACCTCAATTGTGGGTGTGCAAGAAATGATCCTAGGGTGAAGGTACATTATTCAACTACTCAAAGATCAATTACTCAAGACTCAAAGTCGCATGAAATTCTATGCTGATAAGCATAGGTCAAATAGAAAAATTAGAAGTTGGTGATCTAGTATATCTGAAGCTGCAGCATTCAGGCAAACTTAAGTGGCATCAAGTAGCCTTTGAAACTCACTTCCAAATATTATGGACCATTTACAATTATAGGGAAAATGGGTGCAGTAGCTTAGAAGCTAGTGTAATAAGAATTCAGTTGATCTTTCTTTTCCTTCCTTGTTCTCTCTCGTTCTCTTCTACTTTTTATTCATTTTTTTTTATTTCTTTTGAAAGGCTACACAACCGGGGGGTGGGGGGTGGGGGGTTAGCCCATCTCCCAACTCAGGTGCAGGCAGGATTCGATCCCATGTCTCCGCTAAAAACAGTAAATGAGTAGAAAACCTTACCAACCCGCTAGGGGTTAGCCCATCTCCCAACTCAGGTGCAGGCAGGATTCGATCCCAAGTCTCCGCTAAAAACAGTAAATGAGTAGAAAACCTTACCAACCCACTAGTTGGCACCTTGTCTCTCTTCTAATGCCCTTGTTCTCTCTTAACCGACCTCTATTATGACCAAACCCGCTCAAGTCATACATTTCAGATTTAATTTTTTATTTTTTGAAGGCAAAGGCAAGTATATTTCATTCGACCCAGAAATTTGAATATAAAGAATTGATAACAGTACCAAGCAAGAAAGCCCAAGACAAATTCTTAGAACAAAATATACATGAATAGTGGAAAAAGGAGAAGAAATGAACTTCTGCAAAAGTGAAAAGGTGAGCAATTTGGTACAGCTCCATCCCACCCAAAGTGAGAGAAAGAGACAGGAGGGACGCTCAAGAAAATGGCGAGGAGGCAGTAATAGTGCGACCAAGAAAGCCGCAAAAGGCGGCAGAGTCCAAAAACTGAAACCGTTTCCAACAATGCAATTGCCACCAAAATAGCCCCCAAGAAACTGCAACTGCAACTGCCACCTACAGACTGCAACCTCCACCAAAAAACTGCAACCAACGGCGAAAACAACCTTTGTACCAAAGCAAGAAAGGATTTGGGCTTCAAGAAACAGCCAAGGATGTTAACCAAAGTAGCAGTTGTGGCCAGTGCCCAACAAGAAAATACTGAATAGTGCGTCCCCTATACCAAGTTCCCTGCACAACAACAGCAAAGAAAAAACAAAAAACAACAAAGGAACAAAAAAGAAAAACATGTAAAGGGAAAATAACAAAGGATGGAAGGAGGGAAAAATGACAGATGATGAAAGGAGGAAGAA